TATCTATCAATCTCTTTTGACCTGTAAAAGACTATGTCAAGTAAATAAACTGTGTCCTCACAGTTTCATTCTTTACTTTAACACATTTTATCCTAGCTAAATCTAGCCTGAGACAGAATGATAATCAGCTCAGTGAATATGCATCTTTTTAAACAGTGAATGTTCTAGATAATGAGAATACAGATATATTTTAGATCTGCCCACTGATCTGAGACGTGGCATGGATGTGGGGCTTGAGACCAGCTACTCACAGGCTTAAAGAGAGAGTTCATAATATTCAGAAGATCTAAGGAGTATCCCCTCTTAATATATCCAGATCAACCTTTGCCATGTAGCGCTGTCTGTGTCACTCAGATGTCAGATTTAAGCAATGGATAGTGCGAGGCATCTTCAGAAGACATCCTAAACAGAATTGTTCCATCTTAAACTATGACCAGAGCAGCTACTAACCAATATATCACTCAGATGGTATGACAGTTCACACAATAATACACTCTACAGTGTAAATATCTGTCACTGTAAATATAATATAATAATAAATATAATAAATATAATATAATATAGAGTTTGTGGAACATTTACAGTATATTAGTAAATTTATAGTTACTGTTACTCTTTACACTTTAATTCAAAAGTTTGAGGTCAGATTTTAGTAATGTTTTTCAAAAGATGTCTTATGCTCACCAAAGCTGAATCTATTTGATCAAAAATACAGTAAAAAAAAACTGTAAAATAAGATTACCATTTAAAATAACTCTGTTACTATGTTATTCCTGTGTGTTTTCAGCAGACATTACTGCAGTCTTCAGTGTCACACGATCCTTCAGAAACCATTCTAATATTCTCAAGAAACATTTCTTATTATTATCAACGTTGAAAACTGTTCTGCTTAATCTGAACTTGAAAAGCATTTACTTGTAAAGCAAATATTTTGTAACAATATAAAATGTCTGTCACTTTTGATTAAATGTGTCCCTGCTGAAAGAAAGTATTAAACTCTTTCTCAAATAAATTAATTAATTAATTAAATACAAATTTGTACTGACCAAAAACTTTTGAATAGTAGTGCATATTTATATTTAGTGTATTTTTCATAATCAAATAAATGTCCTATACAGAACCCTATGGCATAACATGAGCCAAAATCCATTTTCTATTCCAATAATAATATTTACATGTGTAAAACTGTGAACATGATTGAAGATCAGTCCTTTTGGAGAGACGATATAAAACAACACTGATTAAAAAGCGTCTCGATTTCCAACCAGCCGAACATGGGAGTCATGCTCGATTACTATTAAATCAATAGATCTGAGCCGCTGGTGGCCTGTCTTTGCTGTAAGGTAATTATATTTGAATTCAAGTCACATTTTACACACCAGCTTGATCCTATTAAAGAGTGAGGTGGGAATGGCCTTTGCTCGCTAAACTACTAATCTACTTCTACGCCTGCCACCTGATGTTTCGCGTAAAGACTGACTTGTAATAAACCTCTGGGCCTTCGACACCACACAACGACAGAGAGTAATACCAAACAGTATTTCTATTACTTTACACACATGACAAGCTTCATAATAATAACACTATAATGAGAGTACTGTACTTTAAAAAAAAGAAAATGATGAGTAATCGCTATTAAATACACTGGCTGTTAATCATGTAATTTGTGTCTTTTGCATTCATTGGTGAAAAATGAGCTGATTGGGTTTATGGGTTTTTATAATATTGCAATAAATTCAGATGTTTCATTGCTGTGACATCCTAAACAGTTCTCCAGTCTCTCTATTTCTTTTCAAAGTGTCTCATTTCTCAATTACCCTTTTTCTCATACTGTCCTTGGGGAAGGAAAGACTTGAAAATGCATTTCACACATCAGACTAAATTAATGCAAGACCTTCGTCTACTTTGACCCATTTACCGTGACACTTCTTTAACCTGGCCTGCCTCGCGGTTATCTGCAGATGTTTAATATTCGATGTCTGTGTGGTCAGAAGGACCAAGGTGAACCTCAGAACTGCTGAGGCTGACAAGTGTTATAAAAGAAGCGGTTAATGTTTCATCCCTGCGTTTTTGCATGACCATTTTCTGCATGGACATTTTAAAGCAGAACTAAAAATAATGAATCCTTTCTGAGACGTCTCCTTTTTCAATGCAAACCCCAGCTCATTTCAACAAAATGTTGCAGTTCACTGTGCAAGACCTTCGTCTACTTTGACCCATTTACCGTGACACTTCTTTAACCTGGCCTGCCTCGCGGTTATCTGCAGATGTTTAATATTCGATGTCTGTGTGGTCAGAAGGACCAAGGTGAACCTCAGAACTGCTGAAGTGTTATAAAAGAAGCGGTTAATGTTTCATCCCTGCGTTTTTGCATGATCATTTTCTGCATGGACATTTTAAAGCAGAACTAAAAATAATGAATCCTTTCTGAGACGTCTCCTTTTTCAATGCAAACCCCAGCTCATTTCAACAAAATGTTGCAGTTCACTGTCTCCTAATTATAGTCTTTCTCTCAGTATTACCTCCAATTACAGCACGACACCTCCTCTTCTAATGTCCCTTGCTGTGTCAACCTGATCAACACGCTTTCTACGCCAAATTACACCCACCATCCAACCAATTTATATTTAGTAAATGAAGACATTTCAGCATATTTATTTGTTTATTTACTTAACGGTTTGACAGCCTCCCCAAAAAACGATTTTACAGAAATGTCCTCTAAAACTGGTATTTATGCAGCAAAGGCACAGCAATATGAGCTAATGGGCCGTGTCGGTGGTATATAGGGTCATGCTGCCGGACAGATGGCTGGAGAGCGTTGATCAGCCGCCTTATCAAAAATAACAAAAACGTTTGGATTTGTGGGACCATGACTCCCATAGACAGCAATGTAATTACCACGATCAAGGTCGAGAAACGTAGCATGGAGATCGGTAAAATAATCCATGTGACATCAGGGGTTCAACCATAATTTTACGAAGCTACGAGAATACTTTTTGTACTCAAAGAAAACAAAAATAACGACTTTATTCAACAATTCATCTCCTCCGCGTCATCTTGGCGCCATTTTGAAGAGTATCCACTGAACGTAAACAGCGTATGCTATTCTGTGTCAGCTGCGTCATGCGGATACATTTTCTACATTTATTTACGCTTTGATTTGAATCAAAACAACGTATCCGTGTGGTTCGGTTGACACAGAACAGCACATGCTGTTTGCGTTCAGTGGATACTCTCCAAAATGGCGCTACAGGGTGACGCGGAGGAGACGAATTGTTGAATAAAGACCTGCTCCAGAGATGTTCTATATCCCTAAAATAATATAGTGAGAGGTTTATAATCAAACTGCCTCAGTACTTACTTCATTAATGCACTTTGTACAACTGCAACAACTTTCTAGCACTTAGTCTTAATTCATTAATAACTGGAGTAATAAAAACATGAGTATATTTGCTTGTATATTTATATGAGTAACTTCCGTCAACATAACCAACGTGACCACCTGCTTGCACGGGGAGTGTGCTGGGAACTATTTTCAGGCGCTGCGTAATGTCATTGCGCCTGTAGTGCTACCGCCAGACCCGGAGATCGGCTGAATGGATTCGAAAACGGTAAAACTCAACTGTTTAACTCTAGGGGAGTTGGAAAACGTGCCTATTTTCAAAAATAGTGGAGTGTTCCTTTAAATATGCAAATAAGTAATGTTTACAAATTTACACTGTTAAATCTTGAAACTTCACTGCTCATGGTTAATGACTGACCCAAGAAAATATGAAAAGTGTGACAAGACACAAAACAGACAAGATAACCCAGGATCCTAGTTAAGAATAAATTAAAGGTTAAGAATTTTACTTGTGAAAAGACCGTGTGTATATTGAGTAGAGTAAATCCACAATACAAGAGTGACCTCTAGTGGTTACAACATATGTTCACATAATACATACAATTAAATTTGTCCCTCTAATTGTTAATTTTTTTTTTCTTGATATGATAAAATATTTAATTTGACATATACTGAATAAATCACAAATTAGTTGCATAAATAAATAGATTTTTTATATTTAACAGGAAAAGGCCAGTGTCTAAAACCACGGTATCGTCCAAAATTATGTCACAGTAACAGAGCACGAACCATCATCCACCATCCACAGACAGAAGACAGACATGCACCAACAATCTGAGCATTTTAATGGAAAATCGACAACAATCATTTAATATCTGGATCTAAAGTTCGGCTTCGTATTTATCGTGGATTCTCGGGTAAGAAATATTCGAATTGCATCATAGTTTTGTCAGTAAAATACACCGGTAAGTGAAACGCGGCCGAATAGCCTATGCGTTTCCAAACCTAATGAATACTCTATCGATCTAGACTTTATAAAACGGCAATTACTTGCTCAGCGTTATCATCAAAATGCTCAAAACATTTGCAGCGACTAACAAATTTGCTTGTGCAGAACTGTTGTAGTATTTTGTTACATCACGCTTTCCGTCATGCCTAGTCCGACGAGTTTGACTCTTTTCCGCGAATCGATTCTTTCGATCAGTTCATTTCAATGAACCGGACAAAAAAAATCAGTAGTTCTTTTACAGTAGTTCTTTTACATCATGTAACGGTCTTTAACGTAGCGACACAATATTCCATACTTTAAAACGTTCCAATACACCCATATGCTTCTGTTTATTACGGATTTTTAGTTCAGTTTGTTGCAGCCATGATTCAGTTCTTAATTAAATGAGTCATTAAAACCAAAACATAATTTGCATTCATATAAAAAAAATCTATCTAAAAACTGTATTTTACTGCTATAATATAAATACTACAAAAATGTATTTTAAAATGATTAAAAAGGTACTTCAACCCACTATAAGTAGTCTGCCAAATGCATACATGTAAATACTAACTCTCTTTCGAATATGTATAATAAAATGTCTTACAATAAAAAAAATAAACATTCCAGTACGTTTAATTTCTGCTATTCGTTATTAAAGCAACTCACTTTTCGCGCCGTCACTCCAATCTCTATCGTGCAACTTGCACGCCAAACAAGCGTCGACTCAATAGAAAAGATCCGACTCACTAAACGATTCGTTCACGAATTGGAATCGGACAATGTCGAGTGACGTCATATTCAAACGCCATCTGTGTGTCTGTTTTGCTAGCATGCAACAGTAACAGCTAACAGTAGACGCGTTTTCACAATAGTTTTTTGAGTTTCACTCAGCAAAGATGGTGCTAGAAAGTGTCGTTTTATGATAATAGGGCGCTACATGCGTCGACACACGAATGTTAACTATGTCAGACCAGGAGTGTCTCCAAAGTAAGTTCATATTTGAATTGTGAGATTTGCTTTTGCTGCTGACTGTATTGAAATAAATACAAAACAACATGATAATATTATAATAATATTATTCTAAAACATATATATAATATTATTCTAAAACAAGTATAGAGGATTTTAACAGACTGAATTAAGTTTCATTGTACGGTATTTACTGAAACATTCTGATGTATTTAATCATGTATATTTATTTTTTTATATTTAATAATGTAACTACTCATTTCCTTATTTCCATGCTTAGTTTCTATTTAAATCATGTTATTTTTGGGGGGAAAAATAGTTGCATAAATACATTTATAAACACTAACTGCCATTTAAGAATTAAAAAGTTTTAACAGATAGTTCCAATGATTGTACAATATTTCAGTTAACTACAGTTAGTGTTTTCTGAATCCTGGAAAATATTTCAAAGATTTTGCTCTGTGGTGTAATTTATCTTTCCTCTTGCAGTCACCCCATGTTTGGCCGTTACCTGAGCACAGTGGGCTTTCCGCCAGCTCAGACCGGTTACTACCACTGGAGACATTGGTATCAGCCTGGTCATTTATGGTTGACATATCCATCCCACCTGCAGCATCCCTCGTCCTCCTTCAGCACTGTCAGACACCCCTCCTGTAGGCCCCCAAGACCTCCAAATCCATACAACTGGAGCTCCTGGAGGCAAACTGGAATACTGCCACACGCTCAACCCAGACGAGGCCTTCAGCTTTCTGCAGGTCTGATGGACCACTGTAATAGCGAGCCACCACAGAAAAGAAAGAGGAGCGCAGACGGGAGCCAAGCAGGGGATAAATCTCAGCGCTCACCCGAACGTTCGCCTCCAAAAGGCAGCAGGAGTCCAAAAGGAAGTCCTGAATGGCTACGCAATGTAACCGGCACTCCAGTTCCTCCTGGAAAATTTCCATCAGACCCAAACAAGTCTCCATCCACACCAGGTGAATGATTTAAACTTGAATTTTAATTTAAATTGATGTATTGTTATTGTTGCTAATGTAGTTGTCCATAAAAAGCCCAATCTTTTACCTCAACAGAGTTAAAGAGACATTGGGAGGATCTTTCTCACCTCTGTAATGCTGCACCGTCTATGAATGGAGGGAGACAAAAATGGCCGTTTGACTTTTCTGTGATGTCCTACAATATCCTCTCACAAGATCTGCTCTGTGATAACACGTACCTTTACAGACACTGTCATCCTCCAATTCTGAATTGGTGCCATAGGTATCCAAACATCATCAAAGAGCTGGAACAGCACAGTGCTGATGTAAGTGAATGATCCATTTGTGAATGCATAGCAGAACAATGTTCGTTTTATGTTTATGTTCTTTATCTGTTATGCTCAGTGGGCAGGAGTAGATGATTTCCTTAAATATCTGCAATAACTTTTTCTCTATAGATAATGTGCCTGCAGGAGGTGCAAGAGGACCACTATAAGCAACAAATCAAACCCTCACTAGAATCTTTAGGTACTTTACTTCCTTGATGTCTTTGTGTATATTTAGTTTTGTTGAGGACTTTAGATGTTGTATATTATTCAGAATATTTTCTTGACATGTGCACTACTGCATAAAAGTCATTTTTTTATTGGATAAAAAAATACAGTAAAACTGTAATATTGTGAATTTTTATCAGTTTAAAATCATTTTTATTTTAATATACTTGAAAGTGTAATTTAACCCATTTCCTATTGATCAATGTTAAACTTTTGTGCTGCCTAATATATACCGTGATGAATTTTTTCAGGATTTTTTGATGAATGGAAGAATCAAAAACAACAGCAAGCATGTATTTAAAATATTTTTTTAACAATGTAAAAGAGTGTCACTTAACTGCCACTTAATCAATTCAATGCATTCCTGCTGAATAAAAGCAATGATTAATTAGAAAAAGAAATATTATGATGTTATTGAATTGGGGTGAATGATTTAAACTTGAATTTTAATTTAAATTGATGTATTGTTATTGTTGCTAATGTAGTTGTCCATAAAAAGCCAAATATTTTACCTCCACAGAGTTGAAGAGACATTGGGAGGATCTTTCTCACCTCTGTAATGCTGCACCGTCTATGAATGGAGGGAGACAAAAATGGCCGTTTGACTTTTCTGTGATGTCCTACAATATCCTCTCACAAGATCTGCTCTGTGATAACACGTACCTTTACAGACACTGTCATCCTCCAATTCTGAATTGGTGCCATAGGTATCCAAACATCATCAAAGAGCTGGAACAGCACAGTGCTGATGTAAGTGAATGATCCATTTGTGAATGCATAGCAGAACAATGTTCGTTTTATGTTTATGTTCTTTATCTGTTATGCTCAGTGGGCAGGAGTAGATGATTTCCTTAAATATCTGCAATAACTTTTTCTCTATAGATAATGTGCCTGCAGGAGGTGCAAGAGGACCACTATAAGCAACAAATCAAACCCTCACTAGAATCTTTAGGTACTTTACTTCCTTGATGTCTTTGTGTATATTTAGTTTTGTTGAGGACTTTAGATGTTGTATATTATTCAGAATATTTTCTTGACATGTGCACTACTGCATAAAAGTCATTTTTTTATTGGATAAAAAAATACAGTAAAACTGTAATATTGTGAATTTTTATTTTAATATACTTGAAAGTGTAATTTAACCCATTTCCTATTGATCGATGTTAAACTTTTGTGCTGCCTAATATATACCGTTATAAAAATTAATTACACTGCAAAATAAAATGCAATATAAAAGCATTTTCACAAGTGGACTTTTGAAACATACTGTATTTATGAAACAATAAATAGTGATGAATAGAATACTTCATTTTTAATGCTGCAATCCTTGGCCCATAAAACAGGCTACCATTGTGAATACAAACGGAGAACGGGACTGAAGCCTGACGGATGTGCTGTGGTCTTCAAACGCGAGCGCTTCTCTTTGGTCTCCTGTCACCCTGTGGAGTATTTCCGGCATGGCATCCCTCTACTGGACCGTGATAACGTGGGCCTGATTGTGCTGCTCCGGCCCATTGACCCCCATAGCTCCCTCACCAACATCTGTGTGGCCAACACACATTTACTGTACAACCCTAGACGTGGGGACATTAAACTGGCCCAGCTGGCTATGCTGCTGGCAGAGATAAGCCGGGTGGCCCAGTTACCTGACAGCAGCGTTTGTCCTGTGCTGCTCTGTGGGGATTTGAACTCCGTTCCCTGGTCTCCCCTGTATCACTTTATTAGGGACCGCAGTCTGGAATATGATGACTTGCCTATCGGAAAGGTAGAGAATCCTGCAACATTTCCTCACTCTGATTTTTTTCGGACACATTTTAAATGGTATGACTTGTTGATTTTGCAGGTGTCAGGACAGGAGGAGAACCCGAGGGGACAGCGTATTCTAACTGTGCCAATTTGGCCCAGAAGTCTGGGCATCTCTCAGCAGTGCCAGTATGAAAGCCGAACAGCAGGTCACCTTTCAGTCCTTATTACATATAATGTAAACAGATAATCATTGCCAAGAACATTTATTAGAAACACTGACAGATAAATAACTTAACATTATGTTCCACGGTGTGTTGAAATGTTATTTCTTTTGAAGTGACTTTTGCAGTGATATTTTGAAGTGATTTTTGCAGTGACTCTTAACTAGTTGGTGTCAGTGTACAAGAAAAAAAAAGTTTTAGTGCATGTATGATATAATTTGTTCTTAAGTTTACACAATACGTATCCAGATACTTATTTTTAACTTCATTGTTTTATCATTTAAACCTTTGGCAAATGCCACTTGCTTTGGTATTTTGTTATTTAATGCAATGTTATGCATACATTTTTTAAGTGTGGCTTAAGTGTCAGAATCCTTTTTTTGGGCCATATTATACAGTAATATTGATTTAAACAGAGGCAGTCCCAACCTTAATGGCATTCTGGAATAACTTTAAAGATTTCATTCTAACATTTAGTTTAAATTCTTTTCACAGATTCTGATTTGAGGGATTTAGAGCAAGCAGAACTGGATGGGTAAATATAAATCCATATCTCTACAGGGCCTTGGTTGATTTAGTCATCCCAGTCACATTGATAAAATTATTACAATATTACATCTTCTTATCCCTAGTTTCTGTATATCTTTTGTGTTCCTCAGCCACTGATGTTTTAAAACCTAGCTAACTTGACAGTCAGTGCTGTCGAGCAAATTTAAGGTGAAGAGATTGGACAGCTCAAAGTGAAGTGTCCTATTTATGTCCTGTGAAGCGTCTTTTCTCAGCGAGTCGATCTTTAAATTCTAACACTAATTATTCTTCTCTCATGTGATCTGTTTGTAGTTTTACCAAGCCCAGCATTGAGCACTGTTTGAAGCTGACCTCTGCATACTCCCACTACCTGAAAGAGAGCGGTCACCCTGAGATCACCACATGCCACTCACGGACAGCCATAACCGTCGATTACATCTTCTACTCTGCAGCTCTGGGGGATGTGATGGCTCAAGCAGGTTCGACCATTTCTATTCTCTTTTAAATTCCTTGGAAATACTCTGAAATAGTTGTTGTGTAATGTAAAATTTAATTTCAAATAGAAAATCAGATTATTTCATTCTACAGCTATTGTGGTGGCTGTCACCACATAAACGTGTATTCTTCATCAGAATTGTAGAATTACATCACTTGCTCACCAATGGATCCTCTGCAGTGAATGGGTGCCGTCAGAATGAGAGTTCAAACAGCTGATAAAAACAGAATAATCCA